TAATAATAAACTGGCTCTAAAATGTAGCACACAGAACTTCATTTTAGTTTTAAAATTTGCAACTAATACCGTAAATAAAAGTTGCAAGATTTCAAGAAACAATTTAAATACTTACAAATTTATTAAATCAAATAAAAACCATTTTAGATTTTTGTTTAGGTTCATGTCAGAACACAGAAAAATATTTTTCAGATTAATAACGCATAATCTGTGTTTGTTTTTCAGCGCTGGTGGCAGCAGCTGTCGTCTGGACTGTTTTCACTCTGGAGCCGTCTGCGTGGTGGAGAACCTCCTCCAGAGCAGCTGCAGCTCCTCACAGACTGTCGACAGTGGGCCTGCAGGTTTAAATAAACACTCACACCTCATCCTAACGTGACGTATATCAAATTAAAATCCAAATGTTATAGTCGTTATCAAAAGTATGAATTTTTCTTCATTTCTGCTATATTTCTAGTGGCAAGAAAAGCTGAGGACATTAAAAAAACTACAAATATGTATAGAASTTGCTTTCTCAAGTGTTCACTCCTGTTTCTAATGTAACTTATGTGATTTGAGAAGAAGTTATCCTTTTAAAAACACTCTGGTAAATGAGGTTTTATGTCCACRCCCTGATGAATGCTGGAGCTGCAAATGGTAATAAAAATCTCTATATTTAAACTGTTAAATAAAACGGACCGTGTTGAAACTTTATGCAGCCTGGAGAGAGGTCAGGTGATCCATACGCCCTCGGCGGCAGCTCTCCTGTTGGCAGCCGGCCTTCACCGGGCCTGGCAAGACTGCGAGGGAAACCGCCTGAGCTTCAGCGCTGCTCTGACGTCGCTACGACCAGACAGAGACGCAAAACACAAGCAGGTTAATGTCCAGTAAACTCGTGATTTCACCAGCATTATTAAAGCAAAAAAACATTAGCTCCTGCTTTAAAAATATTTTAATATTTCTACTCTTTCCCCTACAGGTGCTTGTTTTTCTGCTCTTCCTGTCCGTGAAAGACTACCTGTCAGCGCTCATGTTTCCTCAGGTGAGCCAGCAAGTCATGTCCAGACATCCATTTTTGTTTAACTTGTGTCGTTATTACTAAAATATTCCTTCTTTTTGTTTGTTTCTGTAGGAGAGGAGTCTGGAAAAAGCTGAATATTTCTGCACGGAGCTCCTGACTGTGTTGGTGACCTCTGCTGACTGGCTGCTCATCTTCAAATTAAACGGTACAACTAGTTGTTGGAATAAATCTGTTTTTGTGTTTGTTGCCATTTTCAACGAGCTGTTTTTTTTCTCAACTCAAGAACAAAGTCTGTATCAGTCAGTAAACCTGGTGACGTCAGACGAGTGTTCACGACTAATACCCTGGGCTTTCTGCAGGTGAGRTTTTCCATAAAGGAGTTTATTTTCAGGTTAWTTCATTAATCTTTGCAGCGGTTTYRTAATCTTGAGGCTGCAGGTTGTTTCAGGAATAAATGKTTTTATTTTGCTGCGTTCAGCTTGGTGCCGCAGCAAAGAGCCGAGCTGCTTCAGAAGGCCATTTCTTGTCCTGGGTTCCTCCACACCACCGTCAGCTGCTACATCTCTCTGCTGCAGCTCTTCCTGGAAGGAGACACACCCACACCAACCGTGGGACCCTCCRAGCGGCAGGTGACGGCGCGCGCCATCGTTTCTGTTCGTACGAAACGAAACAGCTTTTAACTCYGAATTCTGTCGTCAGCTGGAGCCGTCCCAGATCCTGAGCCACACCAAGCGGTTTGTTTTAAACTCCATCTCTAAATCGTCTCCGACCGACCTGTCCTCCGGCCAGCTCAGACAGGTAACCACATCCACGCCAGTGCCACGCCAGTGCCACACCGTGAGCACGTCTCTGACTTACCGCCATCACTCCTTCCTGTCTGTTTTTTCTCGTTTATTCAGCTGGAGCTTCGATGTGTCGACCTGGACCCGGAGCTGGCTGCAGCGCTCTCTGTGCRCCTGGACCACCACAGTCTCAGTCCTGAGATGGACTTTCTCTGACTGACGTTAGACGGAAACATCTGRTCTCAAATATCCAACAGAAACACGACGGAAAAAGAAAAATTTGTACATTTTATTTGAACATACATTTTTACAGAATACACACTTTTTACACCTGTACATCRAAAGCCCTTCCGTTGCTACAACACGGAGTAATAACTTAATTAAAAAAAATGGAGATTACATAAAACTGCCTCATCTTATAGAACTTTTACATGTAGGAGAGTTTTAATGTGTGTGAGGCAACAAGAATATTTAACACAATACAGAGCAGTGACAATCTGTCACAAGGGTTTCCACCAGTTTCAACTMCTGAACAGTTTAAAACGTGTAAAAAAAAGTCCTGGTTTTGCTTCTGTTTTGAGTTTAGAGACAGAAAAGATTCAAACTTTGAACTTATCTGTTTGCAAATGTTTGTTTTAGTTTCAGTCACTGACAAACGTTTAAAATCTCCTGTACTTTAAGAGCAAAATGAATTAAGTGGTTCTTTCTTTAAAAAGGCTCAAATGAACTCAAGCAGTATGCCTCGTATGTCGACAGTTTTGTGTTTCAGAGCAGGACTCTGGACCGATCACAGCTTGTGGAAGAACCGGTCTTGATTATGGTTTCTATTGAACACCAGGTCCAGACAACTTCCTGCCTYCACCATTCAGCAGACCTGGACCCCCTGCTGTCACCTGTCCTGGTCTTGTTGAACCACTTCTCCGGTCAGACCGATGGTCTGCAGGTCGGCGCCCCTCTGAGCCTCGGCCTGAGTCAGCGGGTGGACCATGGACATGTGGACGTTCAGGTTGTGGGCTTTCTCGAAACGCTTCCTGCACATCAGGCACTCAAACTCCAGGTCTGCCTCCGCCTTGTGTTTGGTCATGTGGTACTTTAGCGACGCTCTCTGGCGACACTGGAATCCACACACCTCACATCTAAAACAGTAAAAATCTGTTTTTCAAAACTGTAAACTATGTCAGCTGCTAGTTTAAATCAGGACTTACTGGAGTGGTTTGGCTCCTGAATGCCTCATCTGGTGAACTGATAGGTGTTTTCTCTGTTTGAACGTTTGACCACACTGATCACAAATATAGTTCCTTTCCTCTGAACACAGAACAGAAACACTTGATTTACGTTTTTTTTAAATAATAAAATTAACTAAGCTGTGGTGCCAAATATGAAAAACCGGAGGTAATTCTCACAGAGCGGCGTGGAGAAGAAGCTGAACCTCACCTGTGTGGATGAGCTTGACGTGTCGCTGCAGGTAGCGATCAATCATGAAAACCTTGTTGCAGCCGGGATGGGGACAGGGTCGTTCCCGCATGTCCTCATGATGYTCCTTGATGTGTTTCTAAAGAAGCCACGCCACAAGTTAAAGCTGTGTGATGTCTCAACCATGCAGAAGAGTGAAAACCATGTGTTAATATCACTGAGTTGCTAAATGCTGACCTTTAGGCCATCAGGAGCTCTGTAGACCGCTGTACAGCCCTGATAAGGACACTTGTAGATGTTGGGAAGCTCCTCTCTTAAAGACAAAAAAGCAGGCAGCTATTCTTAGTTAAATAAATCAAATAAACTAAACAGGAATATGTTTTTARAAATGTATTCAACTGTGACATATACCTGCATGATTTCTACTCACCCTTTGGGTTTGAACTTGTTCTTCCAGCCTGGTTTGGGTCCAGGTTTTTTTCGAACTCTGGGCTCCTCTGGGGTCTTTGGGTTTTGCCTTCTTTTATTGACGACATCTAGCCTGCGAGCTCTGGGAGGAGGAGAAAAACCTTCATCCAGCCCGGAGAACTAACGCTCCACAAAAGTTTACTTTTATTCAGGCRAGTCATAAATTTAGTTCTTCTGTTTAGTAATCCAACGGTTCGCTTATTGCTGGTTTAAATAATCTAAATTGGGCCCCAGGAAGATTAGTCTCTTCTTTGACGAGACTAATGAAGAGACTAATGGGGACCCATTAATAAAAAATAATAATAATAAAATAAAATAAATTATGCTGTCAAGTTGAAATCTTTTTTCTGTTAGCAATCCACTCAACACATTAACTCTTCCTACCAACCTCTTGTCTGAGTACGGCTCAAACTCCTCTTCATCCAACAGTCCTCCTCCTCCTCTGTTCTCCTCAAAATCATCTTCAGAGATGCCCCTGAACACACGCAGGTAAAGTTATCACACCTGCTCTGTGTTTTCAATCAGCGTCCCTTTAAACATGACAGTAAGCGTTAAAGTTGCAAGTGGTGGTGAGGTAAAATTAATTTAAAAAAAAACCCACAAAATCAGAGGAGAAAATAAAATATTCGATTGTATTTAACYGATGGGTATATTTTGAAGACTCAATAAAAGTACTTSTTTATTAACCTCATAAGAAGCATAATTACCTAGACCTTTGAGTTTCACAGTGCAGCAGTATCAAATGTAGCATATTTAAAATTATTATTCAGTTTAATCATTTTTTAGAACAGTTAAACTATTTGTGTTTGTATCTATAATTCTGTACATATATAATAAAACCAATAATTGTTATAATTAATTATTGTGAGAAAAAAACAAGTCTTATATGGCATACTTATGCTCATTTTAAATGYACATCTTTTTACTTTAATGTGGTATAATTACTCAAAGAATCAGAGTATTAGTAGCAGCGGGGAGAATGAACTGAAGACTAACCTGTCAGAAAGATCGCTGTCAGCCGTCCTGTTCTGCAGAGGAGCTGCAGCTGCAGCTGGAGACATCGCCTCATCATGGCCTGGGAAAGATGAAGAAACCAGAACCGTGTGAGGTCCAGGACTTCAACAGACCCATCACAAACCTAACGCACTGTTAGAAACTCAAAAATGTTTCAGTTTCAAGAGGAAGCATTTTAGTGTTTGTTAGAATAATGAAAATCTCAAATTGGACCTACAACCGAATCATGTCCACCTAAGATGATGCTTAATTGAAGCAGATCAACTGAAAGTGGTATTTTCTGTAGCTGATTTTAGATTTTCTGTGGTTTTACCTTCACTGCTGCCGGTCCACTCATCCTGCACCTTCTGYATCTTTACTCCATCTGAAGACAGACTTTGCTGAACCAGAGTGCTTAAACCTCCTACTGATGTCCTTTCACTGGGCTCTTCTTCTCCATCTTCTTCATTCTCCTGTTCCTCTTCCTGCTCTGACATTACTCTGTCCCCATTCCCGCTTCTCAACGCTCCGCTGCTAGAGTTCACAGTGCCGTCTGAGTAGGAAGCAGCGGTGCTCTGAGTGTCCATGATGTATTTGTGACCGTCCACACAGCCCCACACAACCTTCGTGGAGCCCCAGCACTGGTCCTCCAGCACCTCCTTCAGGTCAGGGCAAGAACAGCAGGCCACTCCGTGATGGTGAGCCCAGGTCACCAGGGTTTGGAGGCACTTAAGGTCTGATGTAACACTTGATGTTGCTAAAAATAAAATTAATTAGGAGAGTACACAAACAGATGTTTTATGTAAGCAAAAAAATAATTATTTACCTTTTAAACTACAGTTTACTGAAGACTCAGGACACTTTGCATTCTTCCTGAAAAAGAAGCAAAGGGTTACTTGTGGTTTTGCACTTTCTTCAATTTAAAAAATGTCTCAGGGGTTTCCCACAACTCACCGACTTTGCATGTTCTCCTTTCCAACAGGTCTGAGGTTGACTCTCTGCAGAAATCTAATMAGGATGCTGTGGCACTTGTAGAACTTTGCAAAGCACTTTTTGCAGATAAAATCTGAAAGCTGAGGTTCGCGGCTTAGTTGGACCCCAACCAACCGTTGGAAGTCCAAATGGAACAGAAGTGAAGACTGGGTTGAATCATCAGCAATATTCAGAGAGTCCTGAGGCCATTTGTTAAACGCATGCCGCAGGCTGCGCAGGGAGAACTTTCCATGGCAAAGCCGACAGACGGCAGTAGACAGCCTTCCTGTGCCGCGATAGAGACAAATATTATATCCATATGCATACAGAATTACAGTAATTGCACTAAAGAAAGAGGCTTCTTCTTTCATTTAGCTATGAGGTTCATATCTGAACATCTGTTCCCTCTGAACCACTCACCTGAAGATCGAGACTTGCTCTCTGGATGTTTCTCTGAGTTTTCTGCTTTGAAGTCCGAGTCAGCTGCTTTCTCTGTTTCTGAACCGTCAGGTAAAATGCTGCTTGTACTTGAGGAAACAGTCTTCCATAGTTTCCCTCTGTTGCCAAAAGGCATCTTCTCTTCACTTACCACTGCTGCTGTTTGAATCCTGCCAGTTCGCTGCGTGCTCCCTGAAGTCTTAAGACGTCTGTTTTTTTTCTTCATGGTTTGTTTTGTGTTGTTTGACTACCAGCAGCTGATCTTGAGAATGGTCTTGTGCTGCCTGTGACAAAAAATGGAACATAAACCATAGATTTTAACTGAACATTTTTCTGAGCTCAACCTCAAGCTTGTGACATTTACTGTATTATTTTAATTGCTGGTAATATTTTAGCTCATAATGTTCTCATATCATCGATTAAAACAAGGTAGGCTATAATCAGAAATAAAATGAATGGGTTAATATAAGGGTTGCATCAAGAAAATACCTAACATAGCGGCTTGAATAGGCTTACTTTAAAAACTCAATAAAATGATTTTTAAGAAGCTAATAACAAAAATATAGGAGTTTTGCAAGAAATCGACGAGAAAATAGCTACAACAAATGTATCATTCTGTATTTGCTTTCACTCATTTAGTGCCATACAAATGTTATTTATTAAAAACGCGGATATACAGCTTTAAATCCAAGCTTCATTCATATTTAACAAACACACAAATCTGTATGGGACATTTGCATCGCAACTATATTTTCTTTCCTGAAGTTTATTCACCAAAAACCAGACGCTAGCTGAGTGATTAGCCCTAAGTGAGGGCGGCGTTCGGGTAAAAATGCTGCAAATTAAAAAAAATAAATTGTAATATTTTAAAGCAGTGCCTACCGTGAATGTGCACACTGATACTAAGAGACGGAGAACATGTCTTTTCTGTAAAAATATATTTAATTATACAGAAGAACAAACTATGAGGTTTAAAAGATAAAATCAGTTGTAAACATTAGAACCCGGAAGTGCCTCCGAAAAAACACAAAAAGAAGAAAAACTACAGAGCGCCACCTGCCGACCAACACTGTTACTGCTGCCACTACAACTACTGCTGAAAAAATAAAATGATAATAATAATAATAATAATAATAATAATAATAATAATAATAATAATAATAATAGCTATGCTAACAATGGTAAAGTTGCACCACCCAAAAGCAGATGTTGACAGACTTTACTTGCCAAGAACAACAGGAGGAAGAGGGGCATGGTCCAACTGGAACTGACCTTGGATTTGACACACACTTAACAACTCCATACAATTCACTCCTCCAAAAAGTGAAACACCATGAAGAATGTGAGATGATGCACTCCATCAGAAAGAAAGTTTCAAAATTCAGGCAACAGTTTGACCTCCCTGACATACCAAAAACAAAGAATAAAGAGATAACCAAATATGCTTGTAGAGTTAAACAGAAAGCCAACCTTGTCAACAACAATAACTACAGAAAACCCAGCAAGATAAACCGATACGGAAAGTACCCAAGGAGGGTCCCTACAGTATTATCCCTAACCACCCCTCTTCAGCACCTTAGGACCAAGGTTWGCAGCTCTGTAAGAAACAAGTACATGAAAAATCATAATAATAAAAACTTTTAAATACACAAGTTACTATAAAAACTAACGTAAAGGAATAAACTGTATATGCATCATTAAAATGTACTCATTGCAATTTAAAAAATCACAGATAACAATGTTTTTCTGGTATGATTAATGTTTCCTGACATTTCCTGTTAGCAACCACATGAGTTTATTTACTTACAGAAAAAACTGAAATCACAGGTGAAACAATAAACATACTGGTTTAACAGAAGTTTTGCAAAAGCTACATCTTTATCATTATGATGCTCCACCACTCTGTTTGATTCATGATGTTTAATTTTTGCAGTTGTCTTATTTAAACTCTTTTTTTTTATGTTGCAGCATATATTTTCACCTAAACATATTTTCCAAGATTCTACATTTGACAGATTCCATCTGTTGACTCAATCCTCCACATTGTTTTGGGGRGATTCAGGAGAGCCCTTTGTTTGCACTGAATGCAGATCAGCATTTCACAATCACTATAGCAGGATGACTTGCTGAGCCCCAAACATTTTGTAAGAATTTTGCTTGTAGATTTTAGTTCTGCTTTTAATTCAGTGAAAACTCACATTTTTTTAAGGAGGCTCATTGGTCTTAATGTCAATTCAGGCCTAGTTCTCTGGATTAGGGATTTTTTATCTTGTCGTCCACAGAGGGTCTGTTGTGCTGGCAACATCTCTGATGTGCTCACTGTGAGCACTGGTTGTCCCCAAGTCTGTGTCCTCTCTCCTGTTCTATTCTCTCTTTTTACAAATGAATTTGTAATAAATGACAGGAGCTGTATTCTAATCAAATATGCTGATGACATGGCTCTGGCAGGACTATTAACAACAAATAAACCTACAGATGAATCAGCCTATCTATCTCATAAAGGCCCTGGAGACATGGTGCCAACTTGTCAAAACTGTGGCAAACTTTAAACACTCAGGGTCAATTTTGGACAGTAAGCTCACTTTTGCTGAAAACGCTAATTACATTTTTAAGAAATGCTCTCAGAGACTTTATCTTCTGAGAMGACTTAGTGGTTTGGGGGTTAGTCAGCATATTCTAGAGCTTGTGTATAAGTCTGTCGTTGAGAGTGTCCTAACTTTTCATCTCCCTGCCTGGTATGGTCACACAAGTTGTAGACTAAGGAACAAACTCTCAAAATTTGTTCCAAAGGCAAATAAGATAGTGGGGAAAAAACTTTGCCTCAGCTGTTTGAAGAAAGAACTTGGAAGACGGCAAGGAATATTTTAGCAGATAGTAGCCATCCTCTTTTTTGTCAGTTTGAACCTTTGAGCTCAGGAGGCGTTTTAGGGTCCCTCTGGCAACCAAGAACACCAACAAGAGGTCATTTATTCCCAGTGCAATAACCATTCTCAATCAAACTAAATGACAATCTCCCACTGATGATATGTTAAGGGTTTTTATTTTTGTTTTTATTTATGTTTTAAATTTTTGAAATTGTGATTTTATGTGTGTGCTTTTGTTTGAATATGTTTTATGGCTGGAGAGCCAAAGAAAAAATTCCACCTTGGTGGACAATAAAGATTTTATCTTATCTTGTCTTATCTTATCTTATCTTATCTTATCTTATCTTATCTTATCTTATCTTATCTTATCTTATCTTATCTGATTTTATGTGTGTGCTTTTGTTTGAATATGTTTTATGGCTGGAGAGCCAAAGAAAAATTTCCACCTTGGTGGACAATAAAGATCTTATCTTATCTTGTCTTGTCTTATCTTATCTTATCTTATCTTATCTTATCTTATCTTATCTTATC